GGAGGATGGCCATGACTGGCCACAGGCCGACGCTGCCGTCCCATGGCCAGGCTTGCCTGCCCTATGCTGTGGGAGCCTGGGGACCAGCAGGCTGAGCTCAGGTCCCCTGACCCACCAAGAACACAAGAGGGTTAGATCCCGGCCAGGGCGACTGGCCACACCTGGCTCTCGTCCCTTCTGAATCCCTGATGACCACCCAGTATGACATCCAAGCTGCCCAGGACAAAGGACAAGACCATTGCAGTCCAGAGCTCTCTTGCCGCAGCCCCAAACTCTTGAGGCCCACTGAGCCTCCCTGCCCCGGCTGGTCCTCTGACTGGGTATCACCAGGTACCTGGAGCTCACTTCACCCCCCTGAGCTGCACTCAGGCTCCTCCCTGTGCTCCATGGTGCAGCTGACTACATCCCTGCACGTGTCACCTGAGATCACCATGGCCTGTGTGCAGATTGGTCTCTGTCCACTAGAGTATGAGCACCTTCAGATGGTGGGAAAGCCACGTTAACACTGTGCTCTTAGCTCCCAGCCCAGATCCTGACATGTGGCAGGCCTCAGAAATGAGTCAGTAAATAGGAGAAGGGACCCAAAAGGGGTAAGGTGGGACCAGGAGTCCGGTTCAGAGACCTTCTCTATGCCCAGGCCCAGCCACCAGGTGACTCGGGCATGGGAAGGTGGCGTTAGGAGCACTATGGACATCTGTATCTGCTATCATCCTCTACTTTCTGTTGTTTACATGTTACGATATACATAATGCTAATGAAGGAAGACGTGTAAAATTTATAAACAAAAATGCATACACACATATGTATATACCGGTCTGTACAGATCCACAGGTATGGGTGTGTGTGTACGTACGTGACATGCATGCTCAGGAATGTTTCCCCATGGGCTGCGCAAATGGGCCCAGCATGGAGACGCTGCTCTCCTCCTGGTCGGCCATGCGCCAGGTGAGGCCCCATCCTGAGGCTCACACCGAAGCGGGGCTGCCTTGGCTGCTTGCTCTAGGATGAATATCCTACCAAGTCCTCAGTGCCCCTTCGCCCCCCTCGTGGCGCACAGGGCCCCTGGCTCCTGCCCCTGAGGCAAGGGCTTACCTGACTTGAAGGTGGCGGGGCTATCTGGGGCCCCTGGCTCCCAGGCGCTCATGGGGCCCATGGCCGAGGCCAGCTGGTACTGAGTCAGCAGCCGGTGCAGCTGTGCGGGGCGCAGGGCAGGGAACGCAGCCCTTAGGGCTGCCCAGCTCATCTGGGTGACAAGGAGGAGCTCACAGTCAAAGGCCTCCAGGAGCATGAGGGGGTCCCTTAGCACAGCCCTGCTCCCAGGGAGGGTCTGCCTCTGTGGGGTGCCCTGGGAGCACCAGCAGAGGAGCAGGGCTCCCTGGCCTCGGGCTCGAGGCCCAGCACACGTGGGCCCCCAGCATTCTCACTCCCACCAGGGGCTGTGTGGTACAGCAGGTCAGCGAGGGGGAGTCGGACACAGACCACAGCTCAACCCCAGAGAGGCCAGAAGGTGCCACAGCAAGCCCCTGGTCCATTGAACACACCCCCTCATCACAAGTGATCAGTCATCTCACGTGGCTGAGAAATGTGAGAAAAGACTACGTGAAAACTGGAAGGGAAATGAAATTGGATTCCTACCTCAAACAGCATAAAAGAAATCCTGCAGGTTAAAAACATGTACAAAAGGCAAAAACTTTAAATCATCTTGGTGACATGAGCCCAACTTTATGAGCCCAGGATAGGGAAAGCCTTCTTCAGGGAGATTGAAAGCATCAGCCCTAAGGAAAGTGTAGACTCGTGTGACGAAGTTAAAACATCCTCTATGGTCACCTGGGACCTTCCCCACATCCTTCTGGGATCCCCTTCCATTCTCCTTGCTGATTCCCTTGTCTTCTGGAACTCATTTCTTCTGCTAGTTGGTTCCCCCCTCATTTCTGTGGAACAGATCCTCTAGTAGCTTTCCCAAAAAGGTGCAACGCAGGGAAACCGCGGGCCCTGCATGCTGGAAAACGTCCTCCTCCTGCTCTCACTCTTGACTGGTGGTGTGGCTGGCACAGAATTCAGACTGGGGGTCGTTATTGCTCGGAATTTCGAAGGCAGCTCCTTTGTCTTCAGACTTCCTGTGCTGCTCTTGAGAAGTCTGAAACCATTCTGATTGCTAATCTTTGGATATGTCTTGTTTTTCTCCTTCTCTGAAAGCTCGTAGATTTTCTATGTCCATGTTCTGAAATTCTGTGACATTCAGTCCTGGTGCAAATCCACTCTCGTCCACTGGGGGTACCTTCAATCTAGAAACTCGGGTCCTTTGGGTCTGGATTATCTTTACTTTCTTGCCACCCTCTTCTCTGTTTCCTCCTTCTGGACTCCTGCTATTTGGGTGCTGGGCCTCACCAACTGGCCCTTTAACGTTCTCATCTTCTTCCTCTCTGTTTCTCTCTTGCTGATTTTGCTGCCAACATCCAGTGGCCTGGACTGCGGTCATCAAATGTCTACACTGAAGGAACAATCAATGTCTCCAGGCTATATGGGGAGGGTCAAGAGCAGACACCCCCCACCTCCCAGCAGCACATCCTCTAACACCTCTGGCCACCCCCACCCCACTGGCTACAGCCCTGCTCCCTCCAGCCCCACCCCTTAAACACACACCAGCTCAGGAAAGCCTGTGGTTTGCCCCAAGGTGGTTCTTTTTGGTTTTGTGAGTTGCTAGAGCCATGTTTACTTCCCACTTCTGTAGTTTGTCCAGGGTTGGTGTTGGGGAGGAAGCCAGCAACCTGTGCTAAGAAATCCTCTCATCATCTTCACAGGAACAGATCTCTCTCCCCCCGCTGTGTTCCGTGTTCCTGTCTTTTTTACTCTGCTTTCTGGACGATTCGCTTGACATGATCTTCCACCCGCGCTATGGAGCTTTTCATTTCGGCTTTCATAGCTTTAATTTCCAAGAATTCTTTTTGTTCTCTTATTTATATAATCTTATTATTATTTTATGGATGTTATATCTTCTCTTATTTGTACAAGGATAAAAATGATTCTTTTACAGCTTCTCCCTGAATAGTCTGTTTCAGGGGTCAACGAACTGTGGCCTGAGGCCTATTTTTATAAGGCCCTCAAGCTAAGAATAGTTTTTACATTTTTAAAGGGTTTGAAAACAAAACAAAGAAGAGTATAGGACAGAGACTATATGTGGCCCACAAAGCTGAAAACATATTCTACCTGGCCCTCTACAGAAAACATTTGCCGCCCCCCGGTCTGTTTTCTCCAACTTCATCTTCCCCCTCCTGTCTCTCGTGTTAAAGCTGTTCTAGAACAGCTGCCTGTTGACTCACTCCTATTTAAGTGGCAGGCTCCCAGCCTCAGAGCAGAGAGCGTGGCTATCCAGGGACCACTCAGGGTGCCCTGGCCTGGCTGCTCTCCTGTGGTATCCCCAGCAAGGGCACCTGCATGCCTCCCCCTGGGCTGTCCCTGACTCCAGCCTGCTGGGTCAGCCCACCTCCTGCTTGGAGCACACAGGCCTGGCTGCTAAGCTGGGCAGGAGGCCAAGGTTCCAGCAATCAGGAGGTCACTTTTCCCGGAACTCCCTTTTCTCAGCATGAGACTCCTGCCCTTGCCTGGCCTCCCCAGCCAGGAGAACTTTTGTTTAAATGCTCTAGAAATAGACACCCATCTTCTGCCAGAGTGAGAAAAGAGCAGGCACACAGCTGTGTAGATGCGGGGAAGGTGGCTGAGACCCTAAGTAACACTGTTCCCTCCCCTGATGCATTTTGTACTAATGCACAACAGTTACACAGAAAACCACACCAGTTTGAAATGCACAATTCAAAATCTTCCCAAAGTGCACCCAGCCCCAGGAACAAGGACCAGAGCATGCAGGAGCAGGTCAGGAGCATACTGAGCCCCTGCAGTCCCTCCATGGGCTCCCAGGGTTGGGCATGGGGCTCACTTCAACAGCTGTGCTGCTTGTTCCTGCACCCAAGCCAGGGAACCTGAGCGGGCACTCTTCTGCACCCCACGCCCTCAGCTCAGTGTGATGTGTAAGGTTTGTCTACAGCTCCTGGTGACAATGGTCTGCTAAGTCACATTGCTCTGTAGGACTTCACTGTAATGAACAGACTACACTTTACTTATCCATTATGCTGTTGATGAATACAAGCTATTCCCAGTTTGGGGCCACTATGAATAGTGCCACTGTGAACATTCCCGTCCAGGTTGTTGTAAAGAACAAATTGAAGCATTTCAATGGGGAGAAGTACCACATCAGAGCACATGCATACGGTCAGCTCCAGCAGATGCTGCCAAACAGCTTCCTGCAGTGGTTACACTGAGTTGTAACACCACCAGTAACACACGAGAGTTCAAGTTCACACCTCTTCACCAGTGCTTGGCATGGGCTTTTTTCATTTTAACCATTCTGGTTGGTTTAGTATTTTAAAAACACTGTGGTTTTAAACTACATTTTTCAAGGCTGGCCAGTTAGCTCAGCTGGTTATAGCATGGAGTTATAACACCAAGCTCAAGAGTTTGGATCCCCTTACCAGCCAGCTGCAAAAAACAAAAACAAACAAACAAACAAAAAAATGCTTAAACTGCATTTCTCTAATGATTAATGAAGTTGCTCACCTTTCATGTGTAATTTTCCTTTCCTATAATTCCTTTTCAGGTTTTGATATCAAGGTTGTGCTGGCTCTTTAAAATGAGATGGGATTTCCTATTTTTTCCTAGCTTCTGGAGGAATCTGAATAACAATAACATTACTTCTTCCTCTAATGTTTAAAATAATTCATGAATGAAACCATCTGGGTCTTAGATCTTTTTTGTGAGAAGGTTTTTAAATAATAAATTCAATCTCTTTAATATATATAGGACTACTCAGATTTTTAATTTCCTCTTGTATCAGTTTTAATAAGTATTTTTTTGCATGTTTCTTTCACCTAAACTGTCAAATTTATCAGCGTAAAGTTGATTGTAATATTCTCTTTACTACTCTGTACTAATTTTTAATGTAAAATCTGAGTGATACCCTTTTTCCATTTTTGATACTAACAATTTGTGTTTTCCCACTTTTATAAACTTTCTGAAGAACCAACTCTTGGCTTGATCACTTTTCTCTCCTCTATGTTTTTCACTATTGCACTGATTTTTGCTCTTATCTATCATTTCCTTCCTTCTATTTTTTCTGGGCTTGACTTGCTGCTTTTTGCCTTGCTTCATGATCATTCATTCTCAGCCCTCCTTGTTTTCTGATATATACATTTAAGGCTATAACTTTACCTCTTAGCTCTGCTTTACCTGAAGCCCACAGGTATTGCTACTTTGTATCTTCATTGATGCTGAGCACTGCACTTCAGCCATGGGGGGAGGAGAGAGCTGAGTTGGGGCTGGGTGAGCTTTTGGTAAGGCTCAGTGGGCCTCTGCTGGATCCTCACAGGAGGGTTTCAACTGTGAGCCTGGTGTTTACTCCCTAAGGGGTCTTGAACTCTAATCTTTGTCTCCTTAGCATCGTGAGACTACCACAAATTCCACTCTGCTTTTCAGAGCTTTTTGCTTCATTTTAAAGCCCTTCCCACCCCACTCCCTGGAGCTCCAGAATTTTGGCAAAGGTCTGAAGGAGAAAGCCAGCCATGCATTTTAGGCCCCTAAAGTCTCTGAGTTTGTCTCTCTAGCCTGTGAGAGGCCAAATCTGTTTGGGTTTCTTTTTCCCCAGCAACGGCCCCCTGCCTACACAAAGCCTGGATTCTTAGCCTCACACATAACCTGCTCCCAGGATAGCAAATGCCCCCAGGGGAAAGCAGCAGGCAGAACTTGAGTTCAGCTCTTTGTGGTTCTCCCTCTGCAGATCCTTACCTCTTCTAATCCTTCAGCAGCTCTCTGATGCCTTCAAACAGATGCCTTTTGTATTTTATCTGGCTGTGCACGTTGTTCTCAGCAGAAGTGTGGGCTCACTCCAAGCCACTCCATCCAAGGATTAGTGCTTCCCAAAATGTCTATCAAGCTGCCCTTCTGTTTTAGCCCCATCTCCACATCAATATCCAGAGGTACCTAGAGCTGCCAATTCCTGAGCCTTTTGGTGGCTCTGCTGTAAACCAGCTGCTCCTCAGGAGTCAGTTTTCCTAGATTTGCTATTGCAGTTGCTCTTCACCCACCTGCTTTCTAGCTTCCAAAATATTACTGCTTTCATCTCCTGTTTTCTTTGTCCTTGTGGGCTTATGCCATTAAAAAACATGGATTTACTTTTATTTAGTGATAGTTTGGGAGGAAGCAAATTAAATCCATCTGCCATACATACCCAGACATCCCTATATTTTCTAAATTTTCTATAGTGAATAAGTGTTTCACTTTTATAATGAAAAAAAATTAACTTTAAAAAATGACAATTCAGTACAATATATAGTCCCTAACATAGAGTAGATTTTTAACGTATGCTGAATGAATAAATGACACACAGAACCAGGTATGGTACCTGGCTTGCTTTGTGCTCAGCTTTGTCATTCATAAAACGGGATCATGAGGCTACCTACCTTGGAGGATTGCTGTGATGATTAAATGAGATAACCCAGGCAAAGCCTTTAATGTCTGCAGATACTCAGTAATAGCATCAGCTATCGTTATTTTAATAACACTTGCAGGGCACACAGGTGAGATTTTGTGTTTTGATCCTCAGGCGGTGCATTGTCCTGTTTTTGGCACCAAACTGAAAGGCCTGGTTTGCCCTGGTGAGTCTCATGTTGAGCTGGCTGCTCCACAGTCAGCTCAGGGTTTTGCCTGAAGTTGGGCAAACTATTCACATTACCCGACCTTCCAGACGCACAGAAAGCAGATTCCATCTTGGGCTGCAGCCACTCCCACCTCCATCCTATGGCATGTTCAGTGTTTTCCAGGCAGGAAAAGAAACCATCAGATTGGTTTCCATTGATTACCCGTGACACCTGTGTCAGGGGAAGGTGGGTGGCAAGGGAGGAGGGTGAGGGTTGGTTAGTTTCCTGTTGCTGTTGCAACAAATGCCCACTGCCTTGGTGGTTAAAGCAACACAAGAGTGGAATCTCATGGTTCTGTGGATCAGTCTAGTGCAGGTCTTGCTGGGCTGTGAGCTCTCTGGAGGCTCTGGGAGACGATCCACTTCCTCGCTCATCTGGATTGTTATCAGAATTCAGTTCCTCGTGGTTGTAGAACTGAGGTCCCATTTCCGTGTTGGCTGTCATCTGGGGGCCATTCTGACTCCCAGAGGCCACTGTGTTCCTTGGCTTGTGGGCCCCTCCTCCATCTTCAGAGCCAGCCAGGGTGGGTTGAGTCCTCCTTTCTTCTTCTGTCCATCTCTCTGGCCCACTCCTATGGATCGTCTGATTAGATGCCCACCAGGGTCATCCTCCTGTCTCAAAGTCCTTAATCTCAGGCACATCTACAGAGTCCCTTTTGTCATGTGCAGTAACATAGTCACAGGTCTAGGGACTAAAGATAGACATCTCTGGGGTCCTTATCCTGCCTACCACAGGTGGGGAGAGCTGTGAAAGGAAAGCAACTTCGCAAGTTATCTACTGAACACTGAGTTTTCTGGGCCTGGAAGCTAGGTGTCCAGCCCCCTGGCCTGGCTTGTAAGCTGGTGACTGGAGAGTGACAGTACATGGGCCCCAGCCCCTCCACTGCCCTTGCCTTTCTCCGTCTGTGGTCTGTGCCCCTCCTACCTGGATAAGCTGGGCGCTGGGAGTGGCCAGCAGGTTGAGGGTGCAGGAGAGCTTCCGGAAGAAGTGCTCTCCAGCCACCCCGCAGCCGGTGCTCCTTGTCCACTCCAGGAGCTGCTGCAAGCGGGTGCAGGCCTGGACACCTCTAGGCCAGTGGAAACAACTCAGGGAGGGGCCTGGGGATGAGAGAGGAAGGGTGATGCCCAGGTCTCCCAGCAAACAGGTAGGCAACCACCCTCACGCAGGGGAACCAGGCACCAGCTGGTCCCCAGAGCCTGCCCTCCGGACAGAGAAGGACATTATAGCTCAAGGACAGACATGAGACCCTGTGTCAGTTTCCAAGGCAACTTTCCTACTTCTTGGGCCCCTCTCTGGAACAAAGGTGGCGGTGGGAGGTAAAGGTGGCAGGGCAAGAAGGGCTGTGACAGCCACTGACTCCAAAGCGCAGGCCGAAGGCCAAGACCTTGCCTCTCTCCCAAAGCTGCCACATCTGTGCTGGCAACACGTGTGTGCTGTGGGCTCACCCCTGCTCTGATCTCTCCATGCCCCCAGTAGTGTCTCTGCCTGGAAGTAACCCAGCAGGGGATGGAGAATGTTAGCTCAGGGAGCAAGGTCACAGGTCAGAGCCTTTGCAGCTGTACGGATGTGGCTTCCATCCTGGCCCCCACATGTCCACCAGCAGTTCTGGGCAGTTCAATAACTCCCCTGAGCCTGTCATAGGGAAGGGGCCCTGTGCAGACCTTTCTGCCGTGGCCTTTCTGAAATGCTGATAAGAATGCCTCCTGCAAGAACACTCTCTGTGCGATGTGTCCTAAGCCTGGGCCTCAGCCTGCCTCCCACCCCCAGCCCCACGGGCACCCACCCCCGCAGACCCCTCACCACAGCAGAGCTGTCCCTCAGGAGTCATCCGAGGGGTCAGTAGCCTGTGGCTGGCAGTGAGAACACCCCCAGCATTTCCAGCAGGAATGTGGGTCCCTGTCCCCCAGCACCTGCCCTCACCCCTGTCCAGGAGCTGGTTGAGGAGCAGAGTGCCGGAGAAGAAGAACAGGTAGGCGAGCATCTGGGAGGCAACCTCGGGGTGCACCTGCAGCTGCCGCAGGAGGTCCAGGGCCGCCTGGTAGACAGACACGACGCGGCGCACCTCCTCTGGCAGTGCAGGTGTCACGCACCAGCTCTCCCGGCACTCCGTCTGGAACGGGGGGCACTCCAAGAGGGCTGGGAGGCAGACGTACAGGCACTGGAAGGGTGAGAGAACAGGACCACATTTCCAGGGGTGCTGGTGGTCAGACTGAGAGGCCCTGACCTACCAAGTTCCCCACCCACGTGCTGCATGCCCCACCCTGGACTCATCACAGCTCCTGGCTGAGGCTTTTCCAGTGACGTTGCAGGGGGTGGGGGACAGGGGTTTAGCAAGAGCTGCCTTCTGGGGCTGCTAGGAGCAGAGACAGGGTACAAGTACTCAGCCAGAGCCAGCCGCAGTGGTCATACGGCACCTGCTCCTGTTAAGGCACAGGTGAGCCTGGGAGGTTACAAAGGTAGTGCCTGGTGGGATGGACTCCAGCAAAGAGGGCTGCAAACACCCTGTTGGTACTGAGCGGGAGAGCACCACCTCCCCAGAAAGCAGCTCACCATGCCCCAAAGCACCCCAGAGCTGGGTCATGGCCACAGGGGGACCAGTGGCCACAGCCCTGGCACCAGCTGGGTTTAGGTTGACAATAGACCCATGCCCCAGGTTGACAACAGAGCCATGTCCCATGTGCCACACACCGAGGCCTCTCACAGTTTATCCATGACCCTCAACACACCAGCAGGCAGGGACGGCATTTCAACGGGAGGGAAAGAGGAAGCCAGAGTGATTCTAGGTTTCCTGCTTGGGCGAGTGAGGGGCCAGATTGGGAAAGAGCAGGCATCGGGGGCACATCAGGGCCTGCGCAGGACCAGCGGCCACCTCCTCACTGCTGAAGTTCAGCTCATCGCAGCCCCTTCCTGGCTCCTCCCTAGGAGATCCACAGCCTGAGCCTACTTCATCCAACAAGCTGCCTAAGCACAGAAACGGTGGCACCGCCAGCACAGCTGCCATCCCCGACGGCCTGGGGTGCCCATGACCCACCATACCTTGGAGATGTAGTACACGCACTGCTGGAAGGAGTATAGCACCACCTCCTCCAGCACCGCCATGGCCTCCTCGCTGGCCGTCAGTGTGCAGGAAAACAGTGACTCCTTCGAGCCTGCAGGGAGACAGCAACAGCAACAGTCACTCCAGGAGGCCACAGCGATCGGCACCCATCTGCAGGAACAGCAGCGACACAACCACCTGCCCAGGTGCCCTGCGAGCACCACACAACGCTCCCGTGTGGGTTGGGAGAATGTGACAAACCAGCCAAACACCTCTGGGCCATGGCTGGGGCTAAGCCTGCCACCCTCATGGAGAGGCCAGGAATGCTGGTGAGGGGCAGGAGGAGTCCACACATTCCAACGCCCCGTGGATCCCAAGCACAGGAGCTGCTCATTAACTATAGTGTTCCAGAATGTTTTCCATTAGAAGCATCTGCCCCCACAATAGCAGATCCGACCCCTGCCCTGCAGGTCACTTCTCATCAGGACACAGGTCAAAGGACCTCTGACAGCAGGCTTTGAGGAGGCCGTCACTCTGTGGAATCATAACAATCTTTCAAGAAGAAAGAAACCTAAATCACCTATGTCCCCTCCCCCAGCACCCAGGGAGACAGCTGGGAAGATGCTGCTGTGTCTTCAGCCACCCGGAGGCAGCCTGGCTCTGGGCAGGGCACTTGGGCCGGGGGACAACGCAGGGAAGGGGACCACAAGGGCATCAGCAGGGTGTGGCTGAAGCTGAGACTTGGGGGAGGGGAGTCACCAGTGGGGGGAGGAGAAGGTGACTCCTTCCCTCCAAGAGGGGGTTCCTGTAAAGGCGAGAGGCCCCCAGCAGGGTGGAACTATCCCTAGGGGCTCTACAGAATGTGAGCGGCATCTGGACGTGGGTCCCCAGGCATTAAGGGGAAGGAACCAGAATGCTGGATGTCTGGCGTTTGTTCCTCACTCTCTCAAGTCCTCATCTGTTCATTACCAGGAGTGGGGGGCTCTCTCTCCGTTCCTGCCCCAGGCTCTCCACAGGAGCCACAGCAGGGGCCGCACCCTCACGCCATCGAGGACTCTCCCATCAGGGCCGTGAGGGAGTTGCTGCATCTCACGAGTCCACATGGCCTGGCCTGAGCCAGGCCTCGCAGGAGCACAGGCCACCCGGAAAGAAATCGTGGGCAGCAGCCAGAGGCCCTGAGGCAGGCCCATCCACAGCCAGGACAATGCAACTCACAAAACACTAGATGTGTTTCTATCACTTTTGTTTTGTTGTTCAAGTACTTCCTCAGGAGCTGGGGGCTCCCCTGTCCCCCAAACCCACTCCCCAAGAACCCACATGGGCCAGAGGCCAGAAGCCTGCCCAGTGCCAGGACCCTCCCTCGACCCACTGGCCTCCTACCCATGCCTGGTCCCAGGGGTCTCATTTGGAACCCAGGCAGGGCTGGCTGCTCCCTGCATCCCCCCTCCCCCAGCGGCTAGAGGGAACCTGGGGTCTTAGGCTTTCTGCCAGCTGAGATGCTCCTTTCTTCCAAAGCTTCCAGACCTTCAGAGAAATGCAAGGCTGGCCCTGACCACCGACCAGAACAGGTGTAAGCCACATGTGCTCACAGCCACAGGGAAGCCAGCAGAGGGGGACATGGCCAAGAACCTGAGCCCAGACCCTTGCACAGTGCCAGGGGTCTGTCCGTGGCACTCTGAGCACAGGCTGCCCCTGCACTACCACATCCACCTGAGAATGCAGCCCTGTGTGGCTCTCAGGCCAGGGCTCGGCCAATGGGAAGAGAGAATTGGATCCATGGGAACAGCAGGAGGACGAGGCGCTGATTCTGCAGGACAAGACCAGAGCAGGCTCCACACCCAACACACACAGCTCTCAGACTCCTTTGGGATCACTGAGCACCCCGAGACCACAAAGCCTCAAGGAGGATGGGCGCCCTGCAGCCTCCTCCGACTGGGCCCCGGCAGGCGCTGAGCCACAGCCCCGAGGGAGAGCAGGGGAGACCTGCAGAGGGACGCGGCAGACGCCATCCCCTCATGAGATGGAAACGAGGCCTCCTGGGTCAGCACTTCAGACCAAAAAGATTGTCTGGGAAACGACAAAGGCTATTTCACCAGCTCCGGACATGCCATCTCTGTTTTTAGAAGACCTCCCACAGACGTTTCCTGCAGAGGCTCAGGAGGCTGAGACGGAGACTCGGCCTCCCTTGCCCTCTGCTCAATGTTGTCCCTCTGAGTTCTCGGGCGCCTGCCATGCTCTTGACACCAGATTCTGGGGCGCCCCTGGGCCACACGCTTACTCCCCCAGCACCCATTGACTGGGCTTGACAACCAGGTCCCCGACCAAAAATAACTTCCTCCCTGGGACCAGAGGCAGCAGCTGCAGAGCTGCAGCCCGTCAGCACGGAGCAACTTTTCCCATGAACAGCAGCCAGATGAGGGCCTGTGTGGGATCAGCTAACAGCAGCCGGAACGTTGGCTGAAACGAAGCCACTTGGAAAGGCCATCTGCGGGGACTCGCCGAGAATGCAGAGCCCAGTCACCACGGAGCGGGGGAAGCCAGTCCCCCAAGCTGACTCCTGCTGGAGCCAGAGCAAAAGGGACTCCCCTAAGGACATCCCCTAAACCTAACCTCATCACCACCTCACACAGAAGGACATGCACTCGAGAATAAGCCAAAGTCCAGGTGGTTTCTTGGCCAATGTCAACTCCAGAAGTGTCTCTTCTATCTCAGAACCCGCCTGCCATCTGTGACATTGGCCCTGGGCAGCCAGAAGCCTTCAAGGAGACGAGAGTGGTGCTGGGGCCAGGCCATGGGAGAGGGAGTGAGCTCGGGGGTGCACAGGCACTGGATTCCAGGAGAGACCCTCGGGGTGGGCCAGGCGGCTGGACGCGAGGGCCCCTGCTCTGGAGACTTCGCAAGTGCAGGCACTCACGTCACGTTCAGGAGAAAAGCCAGATACTACGTCTGCTCTAGATCCAGACCCTGTGGACAGGGAGTGGCCACCCATTCCTGGGAAGTCTAACTGGCTGCTGTGCATGTCCATCCAGGGGACGAGGCACAGAGGCCACATGCCCAGAATGCCCACTGGGAATAGGAAGCATCTGCACCAAGAGCCGACACGCCGTCCACACATCTGCAGAAGCCCAGATCCCAAGGCCTTGGGAGCCCCACAGGAAGGTCCTTCTTCCCTTTCCACTGTAAAGTAGGGGACCAGAAAATACTAAGAATAATTAATTAATTAATTAATTAAACAAACAAAAAAGAAAATACTAAGAAATCATGATTGGCAGGACGGAGCGTGGACAGATCTCAGCTGGCTCTGCCCCTCTCCAGAGCAGGGTGTGCCCTCACCCCACAGTCTGATGTCCAGGTCTGGCCCGGACACCCTGATGGGTTCGGTTTGCCCAGGCTTCATAGGCCCTCATCCAACCTGGTCTCCGGAGCCCAGTCCCCCACCACAGACTGAGGACAGTGTCTGCTAAGCAGAGTAAGAGCCTGTCCTGGCCACTAATCACCATGCAGATTCCCCAGCCCCACACTCTCGGCCACCGAGAGCCCCTCCTCTTAGGACATCTGCCCTGCAAGGAGCCATAGCAGGGTCCCAGAGCCAACGCGTACAGCCTGGTCCAGGGCCCCACGCTGGCCCTGTTTTCTCAGAGCTCTTCTAGGTTGAGGCCATGGCCGCCTCCTGGGTGCCACAGCTGAGTACACAGAGGCACAGTGCAGCATCCGGCATACAGGGTCCATGTCCACGTGCCTGGCCCGTACTTCCCTCCCAGCTCATGGACGGGGTGGACAAGTGGCCTGAACAGCCTGAGGGACCCGCAGATGGAGGGGAGTGAGTGATGTGTTTTTGCCACGGCAGAGCAACAGGGGCAGCAAAACATGAGGCTCTGGCCCTAGAGCCCCCAGGGGCCTGGCTGTCACATTGGTCCCATGGCAGGACAGTCCTGCTGCTCCTCCCTGGCAGACACACACCAGCTAAGATCCTACCTGGGCCTCAAGGAGCAGCCCAAATGCCACCGTCTTCATGAAGCCCTCCCAGACTGCTCCAGTCAGACTCACCCTCCGCGTTTTCAGAACGCTTCCTACTGTACTTCATAAATCCTAGAATGCACGTCTCCCCACATTACAACCCCCGAAATTGACATGCATCTACAATTGTATAACTACAATTCTTTCTGAAATAGTGGCACAACTCGGAATGGGCAGTGGCTGAGAGCCAATGCTCTGCCTACCGTCCCTGGCATTCACTCCCTAGTGGTTCTATGTCTTCCCCACTGAGTGGCCCGGGTATCCCCCGGGCTTCCCTACAAGCAGAACAGAGTTGGACAGCAGTCAAGGTGACGCCACTGCATGGAGCACGTGACACGATGTTGTCAGGTTGGCCCAAACCACCAGCATTGGTCTCAAGTGGTCTCCGAACAACTGACACATGCCAGGACTGGAAGCTGAGGATGCCCTGACATGAATCCCTCCCTGTTCTCGTGGCCAGCTCTGCCCCTGTGCTCACCCTGCCTGGGAATGCCAGCACAAGGCTAGGGGAGCAGCACCAGCCATACCTGTGACATCCAGCTGCTCCTCCATGCTCTGCATGTAGAGTGGGCATTTCTGCTGGATAAAGTACAGGAGCTCGATGGAGTTAGACATCCAGAAAAGAATGTGCTGCAGGTCTGGAACTAGGTCAGCCATGGAAAAGCTGGCCAAGGAGATGGGTTCCTGGCTACCAAGATAGAAAGACTAAGAGTTACACTTCGACTGTGACACCTGGAGAGGCTGAATCTAGTCCTCTGTCTGCATAATGACATTCCTTTTAATGGGACACTAACAAAAACAACTAGGACTGTCAACCTAACAATGTCAGGCTGGGAAGTTACAAATATATACACAAACCTGTTTGGCATCTGCCCACGACACCCAACAGCCAGAGGCTCCTACAAACCTAGCAGGAAGGACAGCCAGTTGCCACGGCCACTGGTAAGGACTCTGGTAAATACACTGTTTTCATATCTTCTCTTTTGAAATTAGATAATTAAGTAGCTGTGAATGTTAAGAGAGAGTGTGTGTGCGCATGTGCGCAGTAGGGAAGGGAGGCGATACAGCCCACGGTTTTTAGAACAAGAAACCTGAGTTTAAGCGTGTTATTTAAGCCAACAAGGTAACTACCAGAGGAATCAAGCTGTAATATAACTACTTTGGGAGGTGCACAAGGCAACACTAGCTAGATACGACTTTATTAAAGCAGGAGGTGAGAAGGTAAGGTGTGAAGTCGATGAACCAAGGGTAGCAACCAAAGCATGTTATTTGAAGGTTTGTAAGTAATCATCAGAACACCCCCAAACGGACACAGTTCATCGAGGCTGCCTCTGAGATCTGCCACCCGGGGAGCAGGGCTAGGGCCGAGCTCCTACCACAAACACTTCCACACAGTCAGGTTCTTTCTCTACAGGGCGCGTTGCTGCTCTGGTGAAGTAAAGCAGACACGCTCCCCCGAGAGGCGCTGCCAGACGCTGGGCGATGAGCAAGGCCCCGGGGGACAGGTCAGACCCTTCCTGCGGCCACCCAGGGTGGGATGAGGGTGACAGTGCTCTTCCCTTCCAGGCCTGCCGCCTCCCGGCTAGTGGTCCCTTTTCAGGGGACGATGGCAACCTCCTCGGCCAGACTGCTTCTACCAAGCTCAGAGCTGCCCAGACCATTTCTCCTCCTCCTCGAGCACCACCCCATGAGGCATCTGTGTCAACTCCCCACTGTGTGACTTGCAACTTCCTTGTGTTGTCCTGAACCGGCCTCTGGAACACCCGAGGGACGGCTGCTGCAAGGCTGTGCTGAGGTCCCAGACAGCTGCTCGTTTAAACAGCCCACCACACGCCTTTCTCACAGGATCCTTCACCCCCTCCGCACAGCAGCCTAGCATGAAGCCCTGAAACCCGTTGCTTTCCAGCGGCTAAGGACAATGTGCTGACCGTGGCTTCCATGAGCACATCTGGGGGATACTCTTCACAAATGACTTAAGTCACCCGGATCTCACCTGGGTTTGCCTGGGTGAGGGGCACCCCTGCTGCCTAATGCCCAGCTGGCCTGGGGCCCCTCACCGCCTCTGTGTCCCTTACTGGGGGGATTGTAAGGGGCAAGCCCGGCGCTGCCCCTGTGCGGTCCTCAGGGCATCATGCGAGCCCAGCACCTGCCCCCAGGCCCAGGACACATCCAGGAGCTGTAATCTCGCCTGCGCCAGGAGAAGCTTCAGGATGACTGGCTGTCAGTGTGACCGTAGCACACATAGTGCCTGGTGTCTGCACATGGCCCGGGGATCCTGGGGAAATGTGCCACAGTCACGGGAAAAGTCCCCAGAACTTACAGGCAGCTGGTACGTGAATGGGCCAGAGAAGGGCCCAGGTTTTATTGCCTCCTTTTTCCTTCCCTGGCCGAGCAGCCAACAGGGGCCGAGGGGAGGAACCTCAGGCTTTGTCCCAGATTCTCCCTGGTGCCTGAAGTGTTGCTTATCTGCCTGATGTAATTCCACTTTTGTCCACAAACAATGCTGACCTCTCTGTGTCCTGCCCCTGGCCACAGAAGAAACTGGCCTGAGACCGTGTCCCTGCATTCGCTGCGAGCAGGTCTGCTGAGGGCCTGGCCCGCTCACCTTCTCACACAGCTCCGAGTGCTGTCCCTTTGTCTTCATTCTTGACCCTGGCTTGAATTACACATGTGCACACAGACAGGCATAACAAGCTTTGTGTCGTTAAAAAAGGATTCATGTGGCTCTTCGGAGCCTAATCCCATTTTGTTTTCAACATTTACTGCCCTTCGCAATTTCACTCAGAATTCAAGGGGCAAACAGGCCTCTACTGGAAAATAACTCCGGGGGCTTGGCCACCTGGAGTCTCCTATTGAATCCGGTCAAGGTCATCATCAAGGGCACACCACATGCCAGCGTGGACCACGTGCAGTGATAGAGACCCAGCCTGTCCCACCAGGCCTGTCTGGACGGTGGGGCAGGAGCAGGTCTGGTGCAAAAGGAAGATGCCACACTGGACCAGGAGCAGGGGGCACTAGAACTGAACAGGGAGGGTGAAGGGCCACATGGCAGAGGCACAGCCTACAGCGGGACTCTGAGGAGACTGGCCCGACACTTGGGCAGAAGGAAACTGCACGGCTGGGGCAGTGCCAGTCAGAATGCAGGCACCTCCTACACGGTGGCAGGAAGGTGAACAGCCTACACGGAGAACTCACCAGAGTTCCACTCCTAGGAACCAGGCAGTGGACACAGGCACACAGTGCAGGAGGAGTGCAAAGGCGGGAGTGTCTGGGTGCCAGCTGCACTGCTGTTTCTGGTGGCAAAGACCTGGCCATGCCATCGGCAAAGTAGCGAGTGAGTGAGTGTGGAGCTCCATGAAGACAGTGCACCATGAAAGGTGTGTGTCGACCAACCTTTGCTAACCTGGAGAGGTTGCAGTGAGCAAGCAAATCTCAAAACAATTCATCCGGTAAACACTCACCTGGTGGAAGGAAGGAAGGGAGGAAAGAAGGAGGGAGGGAGG